CGAAGCCCGGCCATTAAAAGTTACAATCCAAATCCAATTTGCACCGCGTGCGCACGAGGAAAACCGATTTTTCTCCAAGCGCAATTTAATCTTTATATCTTAGCATTCGGTGCGAAAAGCTTTTGTGCGCGCGCTTGGGTTTCAAGTCATAAATATAAAGTAAAAGGACGAAAAACGCAAAAGCTCGCTTCATAAATTCGCATTAAAGCAGATAAGGTCCTTTCTCTTGGACGAGCATCCCTGTTTTCCTCTGTTCAAACTCTTTTCCACGCGCGCAAACGACACGTCGTTTCAAAACCTCCTGAAACTTCCCACTTCTCATTCCAATGGCTACAACCCGCTCCCGGGCGGATGGCAGAGAGAAAGACATGGTTGCCAGTGGGTGGACGATGAGAAATGAGTCGTGAGTTGCCGACTGGAGCGCCTGCAAGTCGGAAAAGGCAGCGGGCGACGAATACGAAATGAAAAACGAACAACGCAACTTTGGCGCTCGCACAAACCGTACGTCTCTACGTTTGTATATTTGTGTGTGTGTGTAAGTAAGGGTGTGGTACACGCGTGGGTGGTGGGCGGGCGGCACAGAGGAAAAACTTTAATTTCGCTCTGCGAAGCTTGTAAAATATTGCTTTAATCTCTGCCGGAGGAACGTGAAAAATAACACGTCTCCTCGCCTTAGCTGAATTTAAATTACTTGCATAATCCGCCTAAAAGATGAATAAAAATCCCCGAGAGGACGGAGCGAGGCAGTGCGCAGCGAAAAACGAACGCAGGGTGGAGGAGCCGGGCTGGACGGACGTTAGCCCGCATAAAACAGATTAATGTGCGAAGCGCGCGCGCTGCAAAACTCGCTTTCATGCCATACTTTTCTTGCTCTTCTCGGGCGTGCATGTGTGCCTTAGAGAAAATAAAATAGACGTTTTTATTATTGTCACGCCGGCGGCAATATTTCTTTTCACTTTGGTGGAAAATTCATGAAAATGTGAACAATGTCAGATTGCTACATCATCATAATCATAATAAGCAATATTTTTGTAAAACAAAATATTTTACACAAAATTTAAAAAAGTGTGCATTTTACGCACTAGTGCATAAAATGAGTTTTTTGCTATTGCTTGAAGAAAAACCGTTTGGCACGTGTAGAAAATGATGACACACATTAATTAATTCATGATAAACTCATTCATACACGATTTGTAGGTGTTTGACCTACACACATTAACACGTTAACACACACACATACAGAGACGTAGTGCCAGTTCACATATGGCATCGTTTTGGCGCCGATTACCATATCATTCATCGATGGTGCCGATGCATCGTGGCCGTGTTCGGCTGATCGTTTGGCGTGTCCCCAACGCCGATTCATTGAAATTTATAATATGATAATTCGAATCGATCTCAATATCGTCTCGTCATTGTTGTGCCCAGCGCATTGCGCTCATTTTAATAAATTATTTATTAAACAAAAATTTGCTGCACTTGAAAAAGATTTTTTCGGTGAAATTCAGTCGTTAAATGAAATTTTTATCACTAAAACCTTCTAATTTGAATGTTTAAATGAGTTACTTTAAACACAAGTGTGAAAAAGTCATTTTAAACACGATTATAAACAATATAACTAAAATAATATTAATATTTTTGTTTTACTTCAAAAATGTAATAAAAATGTTAAACTTATTCTTATTCCAATGACTAAAAATTTTATTACTAATGCGTAAAGTTAATTATCGACTAGTGCATAAAAACACATTTTTTACACGTTGTTTATTAAAAAATCACTCAATAATCATAATATTACCCAATTTATTATTCCAACAAAAATTATATCATCAATTAAACAAATTTAATAACAAATTATGCAACTTATCGCCTCACAGTAACAAAAAACAGATATAAATAAATATAACCAAATGTTCATTGATATTTTACAACTATATCCAAAGCGTGTCGACGACATGATGCGCTTCGATTCGTCAAACGCACCAGCGTGATGTGCATATGTGAAATATTTATGTATTATTATTGTTGTTATGTTTTTATGCGTGCGGCCATTGCGTAAATTAACATTTTCCGCGAACGGCGTGCGCCTCGCGCGCGCGTTGTGTGTTTTTTTCGTTTGTTTGCATGCTCACGCGGTGCGCGAGCGCCGCATAAACATAAACTACAATGAGACGTAAAAAAATATTAATATTTTTTTAATACGCATCGCTTTTGCTTCGGCTTTGGGCCGCCTGACGGCTTCAAGCTTTAGTTTCCGCTTCACTTTCAGCGTCAACACTCGACGCAGCACATATATTGCCACACATAATATTCTAATAACATTATGAATTTAATAAAAATGTATAAAACGTTCGGCGGCTATGTTATATACATATATAGATGTATTGTTGGTGTGTGTGTGTGTATTATCGTTCACAAGCTTGGTTGAAGCTTTTGTGCATGTGCACGAGTATAGTGTGTGCAGAAAAGTTTCGGTTTCGGCGATATTAAAATAATAATTGTATGAATATTTCATGATCTCATGTTCGCGTTGCGCACACATTGCAAAATGCATCATCGTACGGTGAAAAACGCAAGTTGCATCATTCCACATCCATGAAATTTGTGTAGATTGGACTATGGGTACCGCATTGACAAACAATTTCAAGTCATTTATAAATATTTATTTCCAACTGATTAGTGATCAACCAAAAAGCGGAATATGAAAAAAATAAGACTTTAATCTACATCAAATTTAAATGATTTTAGTTTTAATTATTTGAGGATAGAATATGTTTGTATTGCAGTATATTTTTGTAGGTGTATAGTTGTGATGAATAAAATATTGCATAAACCTTAATTTCATGAATTTTTATGCGATTTGAGCAAACTAAAACGTCAAATTCTGGAATATATTTAAGCATCACGAGCAAATTCGGATGGAAACGCAATTATATATTTAATTCATATGCGATAGTGAAATATAAAGTTTTTTAACAAAAAATCTTACAATTATCATCTAAATTTTTAATTATTTATATGTTAAAATGATATATTTTCACTTCTGTTTATTTTAAGTGCGAATAATTATTAGATTATTTAATTTTTTAATTAATTACTTAATAACCAAGTAAAATATTGTAATTTTTCTTCAGAAATTTATTTAATTCTAATTTTTTATGATTTTTTTTGTTAAAAAAATCATTTAAAGCATTTTATATGTCGGAATGCAGCCGAAATATTTTTTATCCGCGGTTAAAGAATTTAATAATAAATTTTAAACATTAGTTTGCTTTGCAAAGCTAAAAACACAACAATTCATACATCAGTTTTTGTCCGCGTGCGACCAATGAACGTGCAACGTCGTATTCGCTGCCGACCGCACCCGCATAGATACTTGCAATGATTTATTATTAAATAAATAGTGCACAAAACTCGATCGAGCCTATTCTCCGCTCCAGCTCCCGATGGTCGCTGGCGCTGGAACTCATTCAACCGCGCCGCACCTCCATGCTATGTTTTCGGCTATTTTCTATAGTTGCGCGCAACACGCACATGTGCGATGCAATGCGATGGTCATACATTCATTGCGTGATGCATCACGGATAGTTAACGATGCCCCTTCGCGTTTTGGCAGCCAGCGAGGGGCGCGCGCGGATAAAAATATAAAAAATTTGCGCACGTCGCCCGTGACGTACGCATACACACATACACACGTGACATTTATAAATAGCATTGAAAAATGCACGGCCGCACAGAGATGCACATCGGAGAATTTTTTCTATCGCGTAATAATATTTATACATAAATTGTTTCAATGAAAAAAATATTATTTATTGCTGTGTGCCCGGTTTATAGCCGCAGGCATCGCATAAATGCATCAGAATAAAAGAAATGAATAGAATACAGAAAAAAAAGCGATTTAGTTGTAGGGTGTGTTGCCTATACATCGATTCAAGGCTGTTGCATTGTTGATTTTTTTTCCGCGCGCGGTGTTGCCGACGACCTCTATCCGGCATTGAAATTTATTTCGTTTATCAATATTTTACAAATGTACATATATAACATATAAAAATATAACCAAAAAGGACAAATACCTACTGCCTACTCGCATGACACAACTGCGTGGTTTTTTTTTTCGTTTCGGTTCGCGTTTTTTTGGCGTGTTTTCTGTATGAGTGTGCATTTTGCGACGTTATAAGCAGAGCCGCAGTTTTGCGGCAGGTCGTTGGTATTGTCGGTCTGCGTATTATTTTCGCTTTTGTCGGTCGGGCCCGCGTGCACCGTTTTATTTTTTTGCCGCCGCTGGTTAAAAATTATTATCAATAGCCCACAACACCATCGAAGTGCTGCCACCCGCACATTCATGCGCACGATGTGCGTGCACGTGCGTGCGGCAACATGGTATAATAGCCGCACGCGATCATAACCGAAACGATACGGTTACTGCAAACGCTTTTAATAATTAAACAATTTTCGTTTTGGTTTTCGCGTTTTTGGGTCTGGCGCACAGTTTTATATACTGCATGTTACAACCGGGCATTAAAAATCCTTCTAAATTTTAATACAATTTATCTGGGGGGCCTTTAAATGAGGTTAGGTTATTGAAATTGACAAAATATAGTATTTAACGTATATTTAAGACAATATAAATTTGGATTTTAAGAAGAAAATCATTTTTAGAGCCAAATATTAAATTTTTGCGAAGGAATTTATTAACAATTTGTCTGTACAGCCTTGAAAAGAGGTTAGGTTTATGGCAGTTGATAAAGTATAGTATTTAACATATATTAAAAGAAATATAAATTAAGATTTTAAGAAAAAATCATTTTTACAGCCAAAATTTAATTTTTTTCTCAGTATTTTAGTAAAATTTGATCAAAAAAGCTTTGAAAAGGGGTTAGGTTTACGGTAGTTAATAAAATATAGTATTTTACTTACATTTAAGTAACTAAAAATTTAGATTTTAATTAAAAAACTATTTTATAAGTTTTTTTCTAATATTTTTTAATTTTTTTCAGAAATTTTGCAAAAAAATACTTTTTGGTTATGTACACTGGAGCGAAAGAACTTTTCCTCATCCTGTCCATTAAATCTGCTCGCCTAGCGTGTAAAATCACATAGCAAAGGACGAACATGAAAAAGGAAAACTCCGGACAAGCGGATTAAAGACTAACTCTGAAAGCGCCCCGAAGACATCTTTAGACTGTTCCGTCTCGTCAGGAAAAGCTCTCTCAGTGCACACACGGATTGCAAACTGCTTTAACGAACCGTGAATAGCAGCGCTGAGCAAAGAAGCATTGAAAAGCTTTATAAAAGAGTTTCCATTGGAGATCCAACCCTCTTGTTGACCGTGAATGGAGCGAAACGTGCGCTTAATGGATTTTCAAATGAGAATTTAATCTAGGTAATTATCATTTCTCGGATTTTTAGTTTTTTATGTTTATTTAATTATAACCCACGCAATTAAAGCATACATACTTAAGTAACTAGCAATTATCTCGCATACGTAGCAATAATTAAGTCAAAATAAGCTCGTATCATCGATATATCCACACAAACACACAGAAAACCAACCCAACAGATACAAACGACACTGACATGTGGAAGCGTGCGGTATGGAGGGATGGTCTATGCGGTTCGAATCTAATTGCATCAATGATTTGATTAATAGACACGAGAGCAGCAGCATATTTAATTACCCGTTCATATTAACAATTGAATATAATTATATTTCCTCACAATAAATAAATATTAAACAACTTTAAATATACCTAATACGTAAGTAAATAAATAACACCGGTGAATAAAATTTCTCTTCAGATAAGCTGATATAAAGCCAGGAAATAAAAGTGCGTGTGATGTTGGTTGCCTACCAAAGCAAATCTTCATTTAATTTACGCGTAGGTTATTTTTATTAAAGAATGGTGAAATTTTTCGCTGACACGATGAACAAAAAATTTTATTAAATACGCAAAACGACGCGCGACGAACACGCATGCCGAGTGTGTGTGCTTCGCCATCTTATTGATTTAAACTCGAGCGCGGCGCGCGGCACCCCATTTTCTCTGGCGGCGCGCGGGCATGGAAATCTTCTCATCCCTTAGACCCGCGCAACTTTGCTTTCGTGCCGACCGCCCGGCCCACCCACTGCGGTTGTGCGGCCATGGGGACTAGGGAGAGATTTTGAGAACCCCTAAGTCCGCGCCCGCACCCACACGTGGAGTGTGCACACACCTAAATTCAGAAGCAGCAAAAGGAGGGCTTGGAGGAGTTGGCGAGCGGTGTGAGGAGCTGTGTATCTTTTGTACCCTTACACACGCACCCACACATAGAAGCAGAGGAAATTTACATGCACGCATGTGCTTGTGGGTGGAAGGGTTGTGTGAGGGGCAAATAACCGCCATGGCGCGCACGGAAACTTTGAGTTTTCGGTGCGAGATGGTGTGAGACGCTCAGCGGGGCGGACGAGTGCGCTGGTGCCCAAAGGGGTCTTGATGGATGACCTCCGGGTCCCCTTTGCGTTCCTCACGCTGGTGTGTAGGGGTTTGTGTGTGTGTTTGCCGCGTTGTGCTGTTAAAGGCGGCCATGTTCCCTTTTCGCCCTCGTCGTACTCATACTCTTTGCGCGCCTGGACTTGCTTTCAGAGATAGGAGGAATATTTTGTGCGAATGCTGGCGTTCATTACGCTCAAACTTTACTTATCGCATTTAAGGTATTGCTCCGTTGAGAAATGACCCGCCATTCTGTAAATTAACGTCCGGCGCACTTCCTTGCTTTTACTGACAACGCTAAAAAAGTTGCCTACAAACACTAACTTAGTATATTTCATTAAAAAAATAGAAAAACAGCGTTTTTTGGCATTTAAAATTGGTTTTTGGTGAATTTCTTTTAAAAAACGTGATAAACAATGTTTTAATATAAAGTTTTTGAAGTTTTTGATAATATAAAACTCCTAAATTTGCAAATTTCTATTTAGGTAATAAAATTAAAGAAAAAAATAATTTTTGATGAATTTCTTGTTTTTCTGCTTAAAATCAAATTTTTCGACTGAAAATTTTAATTTTTCGGTTTTATTGAGTTTTTCAACAAAAAACTTTATTTTTATCAAAAGACCTTAGATTTTCACAAAAATACCATCTTGATATTTCCACCTGTCAGATTTCAACTCTCCAAACTTTCTAATTATAAATTTGAATTAGTTTCCAGGCGCATTACGCCAACAAAAGGCTCTTGCGCAATATTTGCAATAACAAATACGCGCAACTCGTATTTTCGCGTACGAATCGCGTTAATCGAATGACCAACACATCGCGCGCTCAGCTGCTTGTTGCTGCTTGCGTCCAGATCATATACAATATAAAGCGTGCTGTAATTAACACACTTATAATTACCGCGGGCGACTACAAGCTGAACACATGTGTGGGTAACGGAGTTTTTTGCATTGCTCAATGACTACATATTTAAATATGTTCGGATGCATGTATATGCGCTAATCGGTTTTTCGACTCACCAGCGAAACACATTGTATACGTGTGTGTGTGTACCATCGACCACCACTTGAAATGTTATTAAAACTATTAAAACTGAACAACTTATAGAGCAGCAACCAAAACATAATTAATTTAATTTGTGTACGTTACATTAGTTTGATTAGTTTTATTTTTTTGGAGAAAAATTTTTGACAGGTGAATATTTTATGTAAAATGTATGTTTGGTTGCCTATATTTTCAAAAATCTAAAAAAAATTATTTTTCGATATTTTATTCATCCAAGCTCATTCCCAGCCAAATTATGCATGTAGAAGGAAAATCGAGCAAAACGTAATTATTATTATGAAGTCGGCAGCGCGTTCAACGTGTGTGTGTGTTCGGCTCAGCAGGTGTCCACACGAGCGGCGAGCATATTTAATTAACTGAATATCATATTAAATTTATAAAGCCGCGCTTATTTATTTATTTATCTTTGTGAGTACGCCCGCCTACACACATGTGTATGAGAGCGGTGTCTTCTTTAACGTCTATTTACGCTTAGGAAGCACGTTAACGCCCGCCATGTCTACATTGTGCACGTACACAAATTTCCACATATTATATTAAATATCTGGCGCGCGGCGTTGTTTGTGTTTTTGGCACGAATATTCAGTTTGCAGGCGTATCTATATCCGGGGATATAAATGTTGATAGAAGGCAATGTCAAAGGCAAAGAGCGGAGATGCGAGTGGGTTGTTTTTGTTGATGTTTGCATGCTATATTATTACATATTTTGTACGATTTGTATGTGTTTATGCAAAATGTAATATTAATTCATTGAAATTTCCGAAATTAACTTCTGACAAACGCTTTACTTCAATTTCACCACAGATATAGCTATATTGTACTAGTTGTCCTGGCGAAATTTGTTTGCAGTCGTTAATAAATGTCATCTTTAATTAATTATTGACTTAAATCTGTTTAATTTTGAAATTTAAAGAAAATAAATTGATTTTAAGTAATTTTAGAAGAATTGCATTGAAATTTATGTAATTTGACAGCTGTCAAACGAAGAAAACCATGTCAGACAACATAACCTTAAAAATAATTGATTATTGAACGTTTTTCTGGTTTTTTTGATATTTTAGCAATTATTCTGCAGTTCAGGGTAAAGAAAAAACAAAAAAATTAAAAATTATTCAATATTAAAAGATTTTGAGGTCATTTTTACTTAAAAATCTCAAAAATAAAAAAAAATATTTTAGAAAGTGTTTGTACTGACATGGTTGTCATTAACAAGTAGGTAGGCAACTTCTTTTTCACACTTTCCTTTTTCTTTGCACAAATAAAAAATTAAAAACATTTTAGTTGACGGATTCTAATATCAAACAAATTCGTGATGATAGAAACGCGCTGTTCATTGCAAAACCCGCCTCGACGCTCATCACACGCAGACCGTGGCCAAATTAATTTGTCGGAATTGAAAACGCGTGCTCCGTTTTAATATTGCTGGATAAGCAACGTATAAATATGCATTACAAATATCCGCACGCCGTCTACATTAATATTATCCACCATGCGTATAATACTCGTTTCTATGCTTCTGGGTACTTACAAACATACACATAAATTAGCGCCAGTCACGAGCGCAGAAAAGCGCTTTTCCAGCTGCATTCAAACTGCGATGAGTAAAATATATACTTAATTGCACAAAGGTATACGCGCGGCCGTTAGAACAATATCAAATTTTATTAACCCACACACAACGGTTACATTTTGTTATTCCTCGAATCGCACATAAAGCATTAGCGGTAGTTCCTGCTATAGTTGCCAACTATACAGAGATACAGATATGGATAGTCTGCACACCTCTCTTTGGATTGCGCTTGTAGTGTGGGGCGCGGGGGGCGGCGGCGGCGGCGCGGCAACACGGGCAAATAAAGGCGAAATTAATTAGCACGTGCGTGTTTACGTCCGAGAGGAGCTTTATGTTTATGCGTTTTCGTTACGTTTCGTTTGCGCGTTTTCCGCTCCGCGTGGGATTCGCGTTTTCAACATCCTTTTGTCTGTTATTAACGACGCTTCGTACCAGCATCATCTGCAATTTCAGTGGAACGAACACACGAAACGCACTACTAATTGTGCATGTATTCATACTTCTTTTTGTATCATTTTTAAATCATTTAAATCATTTTTTTAATTAATTCTATCTATAACATAACTTAATCCGTAAAAATTAGGTTATCAAGTATACTTAACCTCTAAAGAAACAAAATTGACAGTTAGAAGTTGATTTACACGCAAATCAGTCTTTGTTTATTTTTTTTTTAATTTTTAATTAATGTCAAATGAGGTTATGTAATGTGCTAGCCTGACAGTTATGTATTTCTAGGTTATGTCTTGCTATGGCGATATAATATTGCTATACAATTATTTTGAGCAGCTGTTGGCAACAAATCAATTTTAAATGACTTTTCTTTATGCGTCCGCTTGATAGCAAAACGCAATTGGCAATTGCGCACGATTCCCGTCTCGGATTTTATTCTCGTCGTTTCCGCACGAACGGGGGAGGTGATAAAGGTGAAATAGGTGAATAATGTCGGCCCTCCGTTCGTGCCATTTTACCATTGTACGTCTACACAGTATACACGCAAATATACAATGTGTTCATGCAATATTTAATAGTAAAAAATTTAAAAACCATAAATTCATCACGAAACTAAAGAAAAATCATTATTTAAGTGACTTATTCATCAAATTTCTTCTGTATATTGGTAGATATTTTGAAAAATTGTTTGTAAATACGTTTGGTAAACTCGCAGATATAAAAAAAGGTCGAAAAACTGAACGATCGACGTCGAAGGCACCCGCTGAAGCCGCACATACGCATATTGTTCACATATACACCCACATATTCACATACAATGTGTAAAAT